ATACTAAGCATGCTCTTTGCCACTGAGCTACACCCCCAGCATAGATGTTAAAATCCTCTATCAAGTTAAAACAAATGTGTATACAAAGGGCAAATATAGAGGAAAGTAGAAATAACACGCCCATCCCCCAAGGAACAATTACAGCATGAATTATGTTAATGCCATAAAATTATTTTAATACTAAAATGCACATTATATGAAATTTACCATCTTAACCATTTTTAAGTGTACAGTTTGGTGGTATTAAGTACATTCACAATGTTGTGCAACTGTCAACACCATCCATCTCCAGATCTCCTTTCCTCTTACCTCTCAGTGCATTAAGCAGTAATTCCCATTTGTTTCTTTATTGTTATTTTTTTAGCTAAGAAGCATATCAAGAACTTCTTCCATGAGGTCCCCAATGTCCAGGAACATTCTCTTACATGTTCTTAGCACAAGTTCTTCAATTTACTAGAATGCTGGGATGACATTAGCAACTTGTTCTAAGAGTTTATTTACTTACCATTGCCAATGCTCTATACAAGTGTTGAAGAAAATGTGGGACACAGAGGTCTCATGAAAGAAGGGGAGTATTATGATAATTTTAATACGCTATTTATATAATAGATTTCTCATAAAAGAAGAAACTCTACTTATCCTTTTGCCTATGTGATTCTGGTTTTGTTGTTTTGAGGCTGGGTTTCTTTTATTAAAAATTTTTTTGTAGTTGTAGATGGACAGAGTGTTTTTATTTTATTTTTATGTGGTACTGAGGATCGAACCCAGTGCCACACACACACGCTAGGCAAGTGCTCTGCTGCTGAGCTACAGCCCCAGCCCTTTGAGACTGGGTTTCACTGTGTCACCCGGCTGGTTTTAAACTCCTGGGCTCAAGTGATCCTCCTGCCTCAGCCTTCCCAGAATAGGTGTGCACTACTGTACCCAATGCCTATGTGATTCCTAAAGGAGAGGAATATGAAGATACCCAATTGTATAATTCACTTAATCACCGAGCTTCATTTCTGCCTGGGTGTTAGTTTGTATTATTGTTCTTGTATCTCTGGCTTTTAGTTCAGCACAAAGAAGTGGTGTAATCATCAAGAAATGAGAATTCACTTTACTAAAGTCTTTATAAAACACCATTTGATGTGTTATGATAGGGTTTCTCCTACACTAAGTTTACCTTAATGATGTTGACTATAAAATTATGGTTTTTCAAACAAAAATGATTACATTAGAGGCTATGCTACATAAACTAGACGAAGAAAATATTGGAAAATCCACTCATTGGTAACAAAACTGCCTAACAGGCCTATTTAATTTTTTTCTTATAGAGTATATTAAGCTAATAAGTGCAAAGCAAAAGTTTAATATTTTAGTCTTATTCATTCCATTTGATGGGATGTTGTAAATTTCAAGGGACGTGATGTCATGTGTATATGCAATGTATATTATTTAATAGTTGGTACACTGTCTTCCTTTAAGTCTAGATATTTTCCACAGTTATGCAATATGAAATTTTTGTCTCCATCATTTAAGCTAAATAGTAATGTAGATTCTCCATGCTGTTCCTTACTGAGCTGTTCTCTGTATTACGATAGTAACCTAAGCAGGTAATTTTAAATTGGGATTTCTTGGATTACTAATTTGTGTTAAATGGATCGTAAAAGAAATATCTTAGGCTATAGTTAAGCCCAAACCTAGAAAGGAGGAAAGTTCAGGAAAAGGAAATGGGTGCATTTTCATTATTCCTGTTTTCCAAAGTGCTGCAAGTTTTGCTCCCTTGCCCCGCCCCCGACTCCCCCCCTCCCGCAAAAAAAAATTGAAGACAGTTACATGTTCTCTTTCCCTCTGAGAAATTCACAATGAATTTTAAACTTTGAGAAAGACAAAATAATATGTGTTTTGGTTAAGTTTGGAGCCTGCATGTGCTCCTAACAAGCTTTTCGACCTTGGGCAAGTTGTATAATGTTGCCTTCCTCCATTTTCCCAGCTGTAAAATGAGAACAATGATAACATCTATTTTATCAGGTTGTGAGGTTAAATGAGATGATCTATACAAGTTTTAGCACTGGCTGATACTTACTAAATATTAGCTACTGGTAATGGTAGCACTAATAATGGAAGAAATGTTTAAACCCTCTATTTTCCACCTTCACTTGGTCATGGGACTCTTTTAGAGAAACAGCTGTAAATACCTCATAGAATTACAGTTGTGTTGAATTAACTTTGAGAAATTCTTTATTTATATTATAACACATAATTCTGTTTTCTGCTATTGTTCAGTTGTATCATAAATATTTACATGATTTAAAAGTTTCTCTTATCATAATTTATTCTCAGATTGCTATAAGACAGCTGGTATAATGTAAAGCCCACTTTACCACTGGAAAACACGAGGGCTCACAATTTGTGGCCATTCTGTGGCTAAGCCAGAACTTGGAGCAGTGTCTGCGCCTTTCCCCAGACAGCGTTGTTTCTCAAGGTCATGCAGAGTCCTTGGTGTTTCCTTGTATTTTCTAGTGCACCCAGCACAGGTCTGAGTAGATGCTTGATATGTGTTAGCTGAGATGAGAATGAGGCAAATAAAATCTCTCCTAATTAGATTTTAGTCGGGATCTTTACTTGGATTGGCCCCATATCTAGCTAGTTTTAGAGGCTACATGATTGTTCTGTGACATTCATTTAGAAGATAGGCATTTCTAAACAAAGGACATATATTCGATTAATTTCCATGCACACGTAAAAGTTTTGAGTGATAAGCATCCGATGGCCGGACACATACTAGTCACTATCCTCTTTTTGTATAGTGTGCCACATTGAGATGAAAGCAACGAACTGCTCCCATTTCTTTGCATACATTCTATGATTCCAGCACCACTCACCAGGACTCTGCTTCCATAGCACCTTATTGGACACAGTCTCTCAAACTTTGGGTCCAGAAATGAAGTAATTAT